GCACCTGAGTAATCTAGATTTGTTGGTAGCCCGCAGGTGGCCTTCCTGTTGTGAGCACTTGATGATCTAGATTGATTGGAAACCACCGAGTTGCCTCCTTGTGTAATATGGAAAAGAGAAGAAGAGAATGGAAAAATAATGAAGAGGACTGGTCAGGTGAGGATTAGAACCAGTTGGCCCGTATGGGGATCGGCTCCCTGGTGCACCATGTACGACGGAGGGCGAGCCATGTGTGAGGATGGCTCGTTGGGTTTCAGGTGGGCGCCACTGACTAATTTCCACTTGCTTGATTTAATTGAAGGTGACATTACTGTGAGTGCTGGTGATATGCATTTGTGTGATTTGGTTGCGTGAGCACATAACTAGTCGGATGACTAAGATGAATATAATTTATACATTTGTGTGAATGCAATGTGTGTGCAATAAATATTACTTTCTTAGAAAACTCCACATGTCTGGTTTATTTTTTCAGGAAATAAGTTTTTCTTTAATCCGGTTTTTAGGCTATGTTTCTTCGGCGCAGGCAACAGAAGAAATTTTCCTGGTTCTATTGATTATTTCACTATGTAATTATGGCGTATAAAAAGCTATGGTATACCAAAGAGCTAGTGACTCCGCAGTTGTAGGAATTTACCACTATATTTAGCTGTAAATTTACATAGGACAAAAATAATCTGGTAAAACCATATTAGAATGTGATGTATTGTAAATTCGGCTCGAACTATAGAATGCTTTGTAGAAGATAAGCTTGGGCTGAGAAATAATAAGATATTGAGGATTTTCATTAATAATTATGGGACTGAATGCTTAAAATTTATATTGAGATAAATAAATTTTTTTTTTAGTGTTTTCAGGCCTTACTACGGGTCTCGGGGGGTTTTAGTGTTTCAGGCTTACTACGGGTCTCGGGGGCCTTAAGCTTACCTGGGCCCTAATGCCGGTCCGGCCCATGGAATTGGGTCGTGACATGGACTTTCATATTATTACTCGAAAATTTAACTGTTCTCTATTCAAAATTTTCGACAATATATTTGGGCTTGGGCTCAATTTGCAAAACTTGAACTCAAATTAAGATTGTTCACTATTTACGGCTCATACCGTCAAAAATTCAGATTTTTGATTTAATAAAATTCTATAGTTTTGAAAATAAAATTACGGGGTGTTTCGAAAACAAACAGCAACTTACGTAATAAGTTTTTTTTTCAAAATAAAAGTTTTAGCATTTTATTTCTTTCTCTTAATGAATTGGATAAAAACCTTATTATTGGTCTCTAAGGCTTAATTTGTCTGGATGAGGAGAGTGAGAGTTTACTAAAATAAAGTAAAACAAAGTAATTTAAGATATGGTCAAGTAAGAAAATAGAATTTTTTTATATTTAAAAGGAAGTAAAGTACGTGACTGTTTAATACTATCATGTTGTTTGATTTTGACGTATTAGAAAGTTAAAGAGACTCTTTGACAACAGTATTGAAGAGAGTTTTTAGTGTTCTCACTAGAGTTAAAATGCTATGTCTATTGATTAGATTATTCGGAAATTTAGGCTCTGATTGGCAGCAGTGTTTGAAGTAGTATTTAATATTTTAATTGGATCGAAATAGTATTTTAATTAATTATAGCATTCAGTAGACAGTGTTCCATGAAATGTTATATCCATTAATGTTTAGCGTTTTATAATTTTTTTATTACACCTATCCCATCATTTATCTTTGCCTTGTTCCCTGCTTTTATTGTCATTTTGTATTAAATAATTAATCAAATAATTATTTGTACCGAACACTTTTATTTTAAACCACTATATAAACAATTAAAACACTAACAATTAATATTTAACAGCTAACCACCAGTACAACAATTGACAGCTATTAAAATAGCAACAACTATTAGAACAACTAAAATTGTCCAAGCAGACCCTTAATATTTGTAACAGCTTTTAGAGGTTAGGGAGCGTTTCACCAAGGGTTCAATTCCTAATGTTTAGCATTTTAGATTTTGTCTTTTGACACTCCTACCTATTGTTTTTTCCTCCATTTTTAAGGCTTAAAATCTAGGTATTCTACTTTGCTATAACACTCTTTTTGAATTTGGTACTCTTGTTATTTATTTGATTTTTATTTCTCAAATTTTAAAGGAACATATGTCATTTTAATTATTTTACTATTTTATTTCTTATTGTCTTAAAATAAGGACAAGAGCATGTTGTTAAAATTAAAAAAGAAATTTGTACTCTTGTTATTTATTTGATTTTTATTTCTCAAATTTTAAAGGAATATATGTCATTTTAATTATTTTACTATTTTATTTCTTATTGTCTTAAAATAAGGACAAGAGCATGTTGTTAAAATTAAAAAAGAAATTTCTCGTCTTTTCATTTTAATTTTATAAAAAATAATCTTTTGTTATAGAAAAAAATTAAAAAAAAATGATAATAATTTAACACTTGTCACTGTATACATGTATACTCTTCTTTTTTTTATTAATTAGTCTACTTCAATTCTAAGTCAATGTTCTAATTTCATTTTTTATCATTTTAATTCTAACAGCTAATCAAACATCTATTTTTATTAAACATTTTTGCTTTAAACCACTGCATAAACAATTAATGGTTAACAATTAACAATTAACATCTAACAGATAATAGTTAACGGTTACTAAAACAGCTAACAACTATTAGAACAGTTAACAGATACTATAACAATTAGTATTACTGAACATGCCCTAAGTAAAATATGATATTATAAAAATATCCTCCCATGAAATTTTTATTTTAGATATATAAATTGGTTAGAACTATTTTCTCTAATAAAATATTAATATATAATTATTGAAATAATTCTTCTTAAACTAAATTTTCAATGAGATTAAATATGATGAGCAATATGAGAAACAAAAAATTTTATTTCTTTCCAATCCTCTAATTTAGTGGATTGAGAAATATGGGATTTTGGAGGTTTTAAACCCTTCAAATAATGATCAAAACACTTCTCTAGCTCTCCTTCAAATCTTCTTCCCATACAATCTAATAATTTAACCTTACCCTCAAAACCCTCCAAGAACCCTAAATCTTTTCTAAATGTATAAAAGGAAAATCAAATAATTGATATCTTGAGTTTAAAAACATTTCCATTCTCATAATTAGAAAAAACAATTGAATTGAGATTCGGAATGACAATTCTACAAGAGAAGGAAGCCCTATAATTACAATTCATTTAATGATTTTGTACAAATAAGATAGAACCTCACTTGAAATTGAGACTCCAGCACAAGGTAAAAAGACTTGGAATAAACGCTTTAGCACCAGAAATCTTGTTATGTCTATTTTTTGTGTAGACAAAGAGTTAAATGTACTAATTTTATTAATCCTCCAACATTCTTCTTTCACTTTTCTTTTTCCAATGGGCTTATTATAAAACTTTGGATTTATAATTTATCTAATTAGCCAAGGGATTTGTTTTCCATATGATATCATTGGCAATAATAAGAGGGTGGAGATTCCTTTCTTCAATCTAATCACCTATGGTTAGTTGAATTGATTAATGAAAGCTTGTTTTCCGCAACAACTTTTGAGCTAATTAGAATTCTATTTTTATTTGTACTATTCGGTAACATCATATTTATTATAACTTTAGAAGTTGAATTAGCTTTTTATCAAATGTTAAAAACTGTAGCGTTTTGCGTTTTATAGAGATTAGTTAAATTTTTTTGACATTATACCTATTGTTTTTTTTTCCAATTCGGCCAATTAAACAGCTAATATACTTTTTTGTTATTTTAAGTTAAACAACTAATTAACGGTATATTTTTACTAACACTTCTAATTTAAAATTACTATATAACCAACCAGAAGCTAATAGCTGACAACTACTGCCAGGAGAACAACTACTTGCTGAGAAATTCTTAAATAGACTATAGACCCATTTAATGAAACAACGCAACTAGGTTTTTTTTTTTATCTCTAATCAAATAGAAAACATGAAAGAATTAATAGATAAGCTAGAAAAAAAGCAAGCTGATGATGTGACTTTATTTTATTGATTGAATTTATGACTTATGTGGTACAATGAGTTTACTTAAAATTTTCTACTAACAACTATTACAACAATTAAGATCGCTCGAATTTTAAATTTTAGAAATCAATTTAATAATGCAAATTTATTGGGAGAGTGAATGTATCATTTATAGTTCCATGTACTTATTCTTCACGTCATGTTATTTTGCTTGCGTAATTGCATGCACCTTAGCTTTTGGATAAAATTGATATTAAAGTAAAAGAGTATGGACTAAATTATTAAAAAATAGGGAAAATGAGATCATCAGTCTTAATTAGCATCAATTAATTATCAAATAATCAACCAAATCAAATTAATTGTTTCTTGATTAATTATATATTCTTTGTTGAGGTTTGATTTCATGAACTTAGTATAAGCAACTCAATTGTCACTTAGGGAAAATTCACTATTATGCAATTTACATGTATAAAAAAAATTGCCAATCCTATTATAGTAAAAATGGAATAAAAAATGTGGATTTCTTTTATTTTCTCGTTTATACATTCCCTTTATTGTAGATGTGCAGTGGCACAGTTAGAATTAATAAGGATTAAAAATATATTTATTTTCTAAAAATATATAGTAGAATGTCTAAATTGCGCGTCTTAAAATTAAAAATTGCCTATTAATTTTGCTACAAAACACCTATAAATATAAATAAAATTAAAAAAATAATTAATAAACTCTCAAAAATCTACAACCAAATGGAACGGAACGGATGAAATATTATCTAAAGATAAATTATGCATGGAAGAGGGCAGCAAAGTGGTTGAAAGATCAATAACAAATACGATCAATCAGGATTCGACGACATGGGTTTAGCATGGATCCCCTGAGGTATTTTTTATAATATTAATAATAATAATATTATTATTTTGATTAAAAAATTACTGAATATTATTTTTTCCAAAAAAAAAAAAGTCCTGAAAAAGGGGTGTCGATCACAGCTAGCAAGTACGCGGCTGATAAAGCACAAAAAACCAAACCACGCCCACGCCCACGCCTCTCCCTATAAATAAGGAAGCGATGAGCAGAGTAGAAATTTGGGCATTAATGGGCGAATTTGAATTTGCAGGTGATCGATCATCCTCATCATCCCAAATTGAAACCCTGAAATGACCCCTCAAATTCCAATGGAGCTCCCCAGTATAGTCCAAAAATCCAATTCTCTGTTTTTTATTACTACCTGTTGCTTCTTTGAAAAAGATTTATAAATTGATGGATTTTTAAGTGACAGAGACTGCTGTAGGTCAATTTATGATAGAGATGGTTTGTTTCCTCTCTCTTGTTCAATAATGGAGGATCCTGATTCTTGAAGATGTAACAGATGGAACAAGGAGAAGGGATGAAGATCTTTGCCAGATCTTCAATATATATGATATTAATCCGTTCTTGTTTTTTGCATTTTGATGCCATTAATTACAGTTAATTAATACTGTATGAGATTAGTTAATTTTTCATACAGCAGTATTAATTTCTGTATCCAACAACATTCTCTACAGTATAGGTGTTTCTATGCTCGGAAACCATCCAGCTGTGGCGATTTGAAGTTTTGAATCCTGATTTTGCAGGTAAGTTTCGTCTCAGGATGCACCCCCAGTTGGTTTTTAGTGGTTTATGCGTGTTTTCTTGAATATTTTATATGAATTTAGTTTTCAGAGTTTCTTGATTTAGAATTCCGACTTTGATTTCAGAATTAAGCTGTCATGTCATTTATATAAGAGTATTAGAGAAATAATAAATCATCCTTTATCAGTTTATTTTTGGGTACTATTGGAAAAGTTTTTAAGGTCTGTTTGGCTCTTTTTGGGAATGAAATTGAAATCAAATGAAGGTCTAGGTTCCGTTCGTTTCTCCTTGTTTCTGTAAAATAATTTACAGGAAAAATATTTTCCATAATGTTTGGGACGTTTAAATCATTTTTTTAAAGAAAATAATTTCTACTTTCGAAAGAGTAAAACATTTTTCGAATATTGACAGACCTTATAAATTTATATATTTTTTATTTATTAATCATCGTTTACCACCGACGACCACCATCAGTGGCTAGCACCAATGGCCCGGCTTTCATAATTTATACTTTTTTTTTTGCATTCTTTTCATATTTAACAATAAAACTTTTAAATTATAAAATTTCTATTATTATTAATATATTTTATGGTCTTATGAGATAAATACTTTAATCATATTTAACAATTAAAATTAAATTATAAAATTTCTATTATTAAACAATAAAACTTTTAAATTATAAAATTTCTATTATTATTAATATATTTTATGGTCTTATGAGATAAATACTTTAATATTTTTAATTAATTTTCAATATTACAACGAAACAACGGAAAATAAGTCATTTGGAAAATATTTTTTCAGCAAATTATTTTCCTTTACGGAAACAAATGGAGCATTAATTATAAAATTAACCCATGAAGTTGCTTTACTATACTTTTATTTCTTATTATTTCAAAATTAATAATTTTGATCTATAAAATATTTTAATTCTTGACTTCTGTGGATTACTTGTGCTATTCAGAACGTATTTTCAATAATATAAATTGTGCTGTTATGAATTAAAACTTGAATTTACGGATATGAAAAAATAGATCAAATTAATAATTATGGTTATTATTTTTAAATTATCAATTAATTGTTTTTCTACGAATGTGATATTCCCTTTGTCCTAGACTTGTTTCTGTTTTAAACAAAATAAGAAATATTATTAAGTTTTATTTATACTTTTATATTAATAATATATGTCACTTCCAATAAAGAATTAAAAAATTGTCTCACTGCGATTGGTCAAACTTGGATTGAACAAGTCTTTTTGGTTTTGTTTTGGGTTTCGGTCACGTTGAGGGTGGCTAAATTTATTAGCATTTGGTAGTAAAATATTTTTAAAAATTTGTAATTAGATGATATGTAAAAGAAAAGAAATAAAAAGGTAAAATAAATAATAAGGCTGGAAAAATCAAATTAAGCTACAAAATGAATAAATGATAAATTGTCGTAAATTTTCTTTCAAAATAATCAAAATAATATTTTCATATATACAAAAATTAAGTTAGGGGGGGTAATATGGTAATGCATATTTATAGCGACTCTTCAGCTAAGATGTTATGATATTCTGTCATCCATGAACTGGTCAATAAAAACGTCCCAATCATGAAAATTCCACTACCATTAGGATTCGTTGAGACGATCAGATCAATGGTTGGAAATCAAAATTATTATTTTTATTTTAAACTTTATACAAGTAGTTCCACTTTGGGGACTAGGATGGTTACGGGCTTCTATCAGAGTCCACAAGATATATATATATATATAGTGGTTAGTACTTATATAAGAAAGTTAAATATGGGCTTCAAAAAAATATTAAGCACTCAAATCCATCCGTCCATGACACAGGTCCTTACTCTGTTGGTTTTTTGAAAATAAATATTCATTTAAATTTTTTAGACTCTTTTTTTGGATATCGAAGGAGAGGGATTTGAATTCAGATCTATTGTCGGAACGTATTTGTACTTACCACTAGATTACACCACTAGATTACGGCTCAGTGTGCATTTAAATTTTTAGACTTATATTACTAACCAAATCTGTTTTTGAAATATTTTTAATTTTGAAAATAAAAAATCATGTTGTCCGACATTATCTTTTAGTTCTTTATGCTCCATTATTTTATTAATATATCTAATAATTTTCAAAATTTTTCTTAAAAAATATTTCCTACAAAAGTATTTCAAAATTTCTTTCTAATCAAATTGAAATTGATTAGAGTAAATATTAGAAACAAAAGATTGACTCCAAAAAATTTATATATATACTAAAACGGGGGAGTTGCACTGCTCATCAGTGCCCACCTCTTCTGTTTGAGCATGTCGTGTATAGTTTGGTAGTAGAAAAATTTAAACGTATGAGTTTGGTGTAATGGTATCTGTAGTTATCATTGAACCCAAAGTTTGTAAATTCAAATTATGTGTTTTTAATTTTTGTTTTAATTTTTTCACATATTTGTCAAAAGCTAAGACACATGTTAATGATGCATAGTGTTGGAGAGACAGATGGTTTCCATTTTTTTTTCCTTCTTTGTTTCTCGCATTTCTTCTCTTTTTTGTTCTTTGGGTTTATTTGATTTCTCTCTTTTTTACTCAAGTTTTCTTCAATTTACTCTTATCTCCTAAATGTTTTGCTTCTTTCTGCTCTCTTTTTGATTTCACTTTCTGTCTTTGGCCTTTAATTGCATGTTCTTGGTGAGTAATTTACTATGTACTCTCTTGATTATCTCTTTCTGCTCTCTTTTTGATTTCACTTTCTGTCTTTGGCCTTTAATTGCATGTTCTTGGTGAGTAATTTACTATGTACTCTCTTGATTATCAACTTTGAATTTCGTTTTTCAAGTTTGTAATTTGTGTTTGATTGTTTATAAATAATCATTATTTTTAATAGGTAATTTGGAAAGTTTGGATTGTAAGATTTCAGTTCTAAAGAAATTACATATTGTTGATAGTAGAAAAAAAGTAAAGTCCAGTTTTTAGATGAATCATCTACTTTAAATATGAGATGTAGGCAAAAATTTAATATTCAGTACTTTATTATATAGGTTACTTTTTCTCTTGTTTCTTGACTTGGTTAAGAAGAAGAGCTTTGTGTTGTGGAGGAAAGAGGATTTTGAGAGTCCAGAGAGGTTGCCATGGCAATGATTGATTTCTGGTCTCAATGGAAATACACTCTTCAATCACTTGATTGTAGTGTGGGAGAGGGACGATCGGGAAGCTTGATGTTTTTGTGCATTTGGAAAATTTTCAGGTTTAATTTTATCTTCTTTTGTGTTTGTAGGAGAGAGGGTTTTTCTGTGTTTTTGTGCAATTGAGATGTAATAAGATGTGTTTTGCTGTGAGGATGCAAAGATAGATTTACTGAAATATATTTTGCTGGAATATGAAATATTGAAGAAAATTGCTTCCTTATACTTGACAAGGCACGTGCATAAATGTTGAATACAAACATTTTATACTTGACATTAACTTATAAGAGGACAATATATAATTTCAGCTATTTCTTTTTATATATTATTTCTTTTTTATATATATATATATATATATATATACTATATATATATACTATGATTATTATATATATATATAATTACGATATTCTATTACGAAACTTTTGCTTCTTTATACTTTAATATTTTAAAATCTAAGAAAGTAGAAAATTAAAGAAGGTAATTAATAAAAAAGAAGCAGTCGGTTTTATTATTTTCTAATCTATCATATTTTAGATTTTTTTTTATGGCATTTTTTTCCCTATTGAAAGTGAGTCGTTACGTGTCAGAAATAAAATAATCGCCGAGTACATAATTTTAATTTTTGAAGTTAACAAAAAAAAAAAAAAAAAAAAAAAAAAAAAGGGAAGTTTTGTGAAAAAAAAAAAAAAAAAAAAAAAAGAAGTTTGTGGCATTTTGGACTTTATAAAATCGTCTTTGTGGCACTCTAAATTTCAATTTTTATAATAATCTCACATTTGGTCAAGTTAATTGTAACAATTTTTAAAGTTTTTAATTTTTTATATGCAAAATATTGATTTGATATGTGATTAGTATAACTTTTGATATAATAATTTTCAAAGTTTTATAAATTGAAGTGCTCAATAGATTAAAGTGAAAGCTAATGATACTATAAAATTTTTTCGTAATAAGAAAGATGATGAATTTATATATTGAGCCATAAAATAACTACAGGACCTATAACCGAATAAGTATTCATGAATTTTAGCACATGAGATTGCTCCATTGTCGAATTTTAGTTAGTCATGATTGTTTCCATTGGCAACAAAATAATGCAAATTTAAAATTGGTTAGATATTTAGAATTGTGTTTACATTAGGGAGGAGTAATACTCAGTTTCTAATCAAAAGTCAAAGAAAAAATGAAGGTAAGCGTAACCCATAATTAGTAAATTTAAATGAAGTAAAGCAACAAAAAGCAAGCATTGAAAACAGCGTAAGTGAATTTGGCTTCTATCATTTTATATTATTTCTCAATCTCATTAAGGCAAAATTTATCCTTTCATTCTTGAAATTTTGATTCTATCATTTAATATTAGCTATTATGAAGTTTTACATTTATTAATAGAGTTTTCCATTTTTTTTTTTAATTTTCAGTTCTCCTCTCTATTTCTAATTTATTTCTCTGTGAAAAAAAAAATCTATAAAAAAAGATTAGGCTGTTTTGATTGATGAAATTAAAATAATTAGATTTTAGACTGTTCACTTGGTACATATTAAGTTTGAAAAAACTGTAGTTTTTGTCAAATTGTTATAGATTTAATTATTAATTTGCATACATGAGTGAGTGTATTGTAGCCATGGCCATGAATTAGTAGTAAAAAATTCAATAAAATGTATTTTATTTGCAGAACATAATTTTGGCCCGTCTAATTTCCTATTCATATCATGGAATAGAAATAACTTCATATAGAGAATTTGTAAAAACAATTGGAGTTTCGATAGTGTTAATCTCCTAACATATGGAGTTCCAATGGTCAAGAGAATTTGTAATTTTTGTTTGCACTTTTATTTTATTTAATTTTATTAGACTTCATTTTACTTTTCAATATATGACACCATTAATTAAATTCATCCTGCACTGTAATTAATCATACCTGATAATCCATTATAAGTAAGGTTGGTTTTAAATTTAAGGAAACAACTTTATGTTAGGAATCAGCTCTGATACCACTTGCTGGGCCTCAGGTACCACTTGCTTCAGCTCTAATATCAGTTGTTGAGCCCTCACAAAGAATTAAGAGAAAATTAACGCAGCGGAAAAGTAAAGTTGTGACACTCAGAAATTTACGTGGTTCACCCTTAACTGTTTAGGGCTACACTTGCTGTGGCCCTCAGTCTCTCGGTAACCACTGTGCTCAGCTTCTAATATCAGATTTGTTCGAAGCCCTCACCAAAAAGAACGATATAATGAAGAATAACTTAATCGCAGTCGGAAAAATAGTCAGTAAAGTGTGACACTCGAAATTACGTGAAACCATAGGTCATCAATACTCTAATGTGGACATGCAGTGTTTCACACACCCTAAATTTTTATATATAATAAGACCTGTTTTCAAGATCCATGAAGATAGCATACGAATACCTTCAGGGACCATAAAACCAACTTAATAAACCGAAATCATAATACTCTCCACTATTTAAAAAAAAAATAGTTAGGTGCTGTACAAAGGAAGAGTTAATTAACAAAAAATCGCTAGGTGGCCCATCCGAACAGTGGTTACTCCCAAAAAAACAAAAAGACGCACTGCCATCCTCTTCTCCTTTGCAAAATTTAATTCAAAATACTTTCGAACACTTCTCTCGCCTCTCATCGCACGTTTATGCTTCTACAATTACTCTCCTTTAGATCTACTGTGTTTTTAAGGTAAGAGCCCTTCCCTATAAGTACTAAACCTAACTAAGCCTCTTCTCATACCATTTTCTTCTGTCTTTTTCTTTGGGGGCTTTGTGTTCTTGTTTGGTGTGTTTTTTGTGTGCTTAACATTGAGGCTTCGTTTGCCTCACTCTTATACGCGCAGTTCATTGAAATAAGTTCGATTGTACTTTATACCTCATTTCACCGTCTTTATACTTTGTCAAAGAAAAATTGTAATCATCCTTCCCTGTCCACTCTGTATAACCCGAATTGACACCAAACCGAGATCGCTATCACAAAACTTGTTGGACTGGTATGGGCCGGTGACATTGCTGAAATTTCATCCAATGTATATTGAATATTATATTCATGCTGATGTTTGTTTACAATAATAATGTAAGATTTTATATTTTACTAAAGTGGACATTGTTACTTAGTTTTTACCAATAATGAATCAATGTGTCACTCAATGGGCCCAAACTGTCCGTGCCCCAGAATCATCTGTACATGCCGATGCAATAAGCGCTAGACAAAAGATTACACATCCTTAAAATTGGAACTATATTTAATATGAGAGGCTACCCTGTGAAGATTCTGAGTCTCTACAGATGAACAGTGCCCTGACAAGCTAGCAGTTGTAAGCTGACTCGTTTCTATGGTCCATTGAAATCTATTTTAAAGTAATCTTATAGTCATTCAGTAGACAGTTGTTCCATGAAATGTCTATATCCATTAATTGTTATGTTTATAATTTTTTTATTACACCTATCCCCATCACTATAATCTTTGCCCTTTGTTCCTTGCTTTTATTGCATCTAATCTAACACAATATAATCAAATAGTTATTTTGTAAACCGAACACTTTATTTTAAACCCACTATAATAAACAATTTCTAAAACCAATCTAACAATTTAAAGTATTTAACAGCCGCGTAACCATGCAGCGTACAACATATTGACAGCTATTAAAAATCGAGCAACAACTATTAGAACAAACTAAAATTGCCAAGGCAGGACTCTAATATTTGTAACAACTTTTAGAGATTAGGGGAGCGATTTCACCAAGCGGTTTTCAATTCCTAATGTTTAGTGTTTTTGTAGATTTTATCTTTTGACACTCTTACCATTGTTTTTTCTCTGCCCTATTTTTAACGCTTAAATCCCCTAGGTATTCTACTTGCCATAATTCATTCTTTTTTGCCCAATTTGGTACTCCTGTTGTATTTTACTTCTTTTGATTTCTTTATTTCTCACAATTTTAAAGGAATTATATGTCCATTTTTTAATTATTTTTACTATGTTTTATTTCTTAAGTTGTCTTAAAATAAGGACAAGAGATGTTGTTAAAATTAAAAAAAGAAATTCTCGTCTTTTCATTTTAATTTTTATTATAAAAAATAATCTTTTCTGTCGTTTATTAGATAAAAATATAAATTAAAAAAAAATCGATTAATTAATTTTAACCACTTGATTCACTGTTATACATGTTGTGACTCTTCTTTTTTTTTGATTAAATTTAGTCTTACTTCAATTTCTAACCCGTCAATTGTTCTAATTTTCATATTTTTATTCATGCTTAATTCTATACAAGCTTAATCAAAACATTTTTATTTTTATTAACCACATCTTTTGCTTTAAACCACGTGGGCATTTTTAAACAATTAATGGTTAACATTAACATATAACAATTAGACTCATCTTCTAACATAATGAATAATAGTTAAACGGTTACCTATAAACAAGCTAGAAACAAAATTAATTCAGAATAGTTAACAGTTACTATAACAATTACGTATTATCTGAACATGCCACTTAATGAAAATATTGATATTATAAAAATAAAAATTTTCTTTTTTTAACTTTTTAACAACATCTCTTGTCCTATTATTTTTAAGGGACAATAAGAAAATAAAATAGTAAAATAAGTTAAAAAGAATGACCCATTATTCCTTTAAAATTTGATGAAATAAAAATCAAATAAAATACACAAGCTAGTTTACCAAATTCAAATAAAAGAATGTTATGGCAAGTAGAACTCACCTAGATTTTAAGCCTTAAAAATAGACGGAAAAAACAATTAGGTTAAGAGTGGTTTCAAAGAAAGACTAAAATCTAAAAACAGTCTAACACATTAGGAATTGAAACTCCTTGGTGAAAAACGCTTCCCTTAATCTCTAAAAGCTTGCTTCAAATTATTAAGGTTCTGCTTGGAGCAATTTTAATTTAGTTCACTGTTCTAACCTAGTATGTTTGCCTATTTTAATAGCTGTCAATTGTGTATATGTACTGATGCCGGTTAGCATGTTATAAATTTAATTTTGTTAGTGTTTTAATTGTTGGATATAGTGCGTTTTATAAATTACAAAGTGTTCGGTCACAAACTGAATCTATTTTGATTATCATTTTTAATACAAAATGGACAATAAAAGCAGGGAATACAAGGCAAAGATAAGTGATTGTGGATAAGGTGTTAATAAAAAATATAAAAAGCACTAACATTA